GAATTGTCTGTTTTCCTTGACAATGCCGTTAGATTAGATTCTGTTGTACGAGACTTCGGAACTTCGGCTTGAATCATACGCTCTTGCATCGTGATAGGTATTCCTGGATTGAGACTAATTTTATAAGGTATACAGTTCTTTGGTAGTGAATCAAAATCAACTAGACATCGAATAAACATACAATCATCACGTACATAAGAATTATTTTCTGCTTGAAATTTGGATAATGGAAAAAATTTTGGTAAACCTGAAGCTATGTTCATATTAGAATTAGGCCGACCGAAACTATTTGATTTACTATCTGGACGAAATGCATCAATAATATGAGATTGATTATCTACTAAATTGTACAGGCTAAAAGTTACTTTATACTTAAATGGCCATAATAAGATGGCATCATAATCCCCTCGCATCAAGACAAAAAATAATGACAAATGCGTTCCTTTTGCATTACCATCTCCATTCAGATATAATCGCATACACATCTTATAACCTGTTGATGAGGAATAAAAGGCTGGAGAATAGATACTTGTTTGTTCACCACTAATAGCCTTTGCTACTTTTTCAGCGACATTTGTAATTTTCCAAATGTAAGATCCATTGTTTGACATAGTATTTGATACATCTGTTAATGTCTGTTTGATTGTATTTATTTCGGTCTGTATCATATTGCAATTCATTTGAGTAGCATTAAGTATTTGAGAACTTTCATAAGATGTTTGTTGTAATTGTTTTATTTCCTTTTGTTGTTCAAGAATATTATTATGAATTTGTATAATATTAGTTTGTATTTGTACATTATCATCGTGTAAACATGAAACGCCTTCAGTAAGAGTATCTACTGCACTTGATATTTTAGAATATTCATCTTTTGTTACAGTGGATTCAATATGCTGATTACATGATATACTATGTATTTGTCTTACATACATTTCTATTACTTTTAGAAGTGTTTCTTGATGAATTTGAGTGGAATAATGTTCAAGTAAATTTTCGTACAGCAACTCAGAAGTACAACCAAACTTAGCAATAGGACATGCTATCATTCTGTTCGTTGTAGCACATCTCTGTTTACTACAAGTATCTTCAAAATCATCCTAAAACAAAAGCATATATTAGCAAATGGATAAATATGAGTATTAGTATATTTTATATCTAATGCGAAACATCGAGAAATAAAACGTTTTTTCACAAATTTTAAATAGAATATTCATGGTAATTATATAGTAATCATGTGCTTATGCAAATTTCATGAAATCAGAACTATGTATTATGTTGAAAAGATATTATTCCACATTTTATTCATGATATTTCGTATTTAATGTATAAATGAAATCATGGACGAAGAGAAGCGTGTACATCCGTTTAAGAATAGGAAGAGGATTGGTTAGTGTCCAATAGAACTAGTAGGATTTTCTCTGCTCCTAGAAGACATTTTTTGCACACTGAACTTTTTCTCACTATAAATTTCGTGTGCCTCTTAGGTGTAAACTAATAATCTGAGTATACTGTTAATATCTAATATTCGATTGTAAAATATAATACTGCTGTATGCTGGCATCTACTAAAAACATTTTCATCTTACTAGTCACTCTCTTGTATTTTAATTCGTGGGAAGTGTTTGTTAGGAAAGTAAGCAATAGTTATGTACATACCTGATCGTTACTATCAGAACTTTGACGTTTGTACGATGCTTGTCGAGATAAACTTGGGTTAAATGTTGTGGAATCATTCGTATCTGATTTACAAGTATTCGAATCATGGCAGGCGCTAACCATGATTGTAATATTCTTTCAGTTTTCAAGTAAAAAATATGTACTTCTTTCATTATTTATATATTAAGTATAACTGATTCTTTGTTGGGAACTATTTATCGTAGAAATTAATCCACTGACGGACGTAATATGAGTCAAGGAAAATAAAGATGGGAACAATGTCACGTATTCACCCACTTATTTGTAGAAAAAACCAACTTACAATCAACACCATCTACCAATGTAAATATTACTTCGTCACTTCTAATCGCAAGTGACATATGTTACTCAACCTTTTCGATTTTTTCCAACATGTTTTTACCAGTTTTCACAGGGAAGTAGGAAAGCATGAAATTATAAAGGAAGTGTTGCATCATTTCCTAATATATTATTAATCATTGTATTCTAACTAATTTTTTCAAATAAACCAATATTTTTTTAACTTAGTTTATCGATTATTTTAAATGCTTGAAATCTTAAATGTTTTATATAGACTAAAATATATTGTGTATATGATTGATGAATATTATTAATATGTGTTATAAATCAATAGAATCAGTTTGATTAAATGAGATTAACATAAATCAAAAGCATTTTTTCTGTTCGAGTTTATTTAACTTTTGGACTTACAATACTATTTATTCTAGGCTTATTTATTCGATTACGATAAAACATTGTCTGATGAATGATCATTGATAAACGAATATTTTTTGACCTTTCATTTTGACTATCAAATATTATCGATAATGTTTACATATGATATAATCTAATCAAAACAACTTCATGTTGTCTTCTGCCTAAAGATGTTTTCATATATACATGTTAAAAATAATGGCTATCAAACAGTTGTTCAAACTCAAGTATATATAGCAGAATGGTGACGCCTACTTTCCATTATAATATCTTTATTCTTTAACACCTGCAGTAAAGAATGAATGCCAGATTAATTTCATTGTAAAAATAAAAAATATCAATGTATTCTTTCATGTCTTCAGGAAGTAACATGTACATATATGTATAGACATTGATATTATTATTGAAATAGTATTTCCTATATACATCATGTACTGTATGTCTAGTGTATAGAAGAGACACAAAAGTATAAAAGAAATATTCAAATTGATTGAACAAACATACATTTTGATTAAATGAGAAAAGAAAAGAAAAATACTATAAATGAATTCTATGTTGGGCACCAGACAATAAGTCGATCACGTTATGCAAATATTATTTCGACGACGGCTGTTACTAGTAGTCATCATAGATGTTGATGGTATGGATCATTTATTAGATTAGCACTTCACATTGTTCAAGACAATATCTCTGATGACAAGTCTTTTGAGATTTACACTTAAAGAATAATTGCCATTCTTTATTTAGTCACAAAAAAAACGAATGTCTATGTTATATGCTATAGTGAATGACATCAATCAAGATTTCTTAGGTCACTTTTTTTTTCTTCATAATTTAATTTTGATGTACTAGACAAATTAAACTTCCTATATGTCTGTCTATTGATTAACGATTCTGTCCAAGAATACATATATGAACTTTGTTTCCTTGCATTCAAATTGTCAATTATATTGATGAGAAGGAAGATTATCTTTTATTTCTTTTTCTAAACAAAAAATAATAATGATCGAATCAAATGCAGAGATTTATCGGCATGTCGCATGCTAAATTAGAGAGTCGGTAAACGTATTCTTGTTCTCAAAAATATATTTTTTTTTCTATAATCTAGCATTCATCACATCAAAGTAACTAATTGAGAGAGAAGCAATTATATATCCGACAATCAGAAAATTGTACAACATTCTACTACTACTACGACACTACTGATCGAAAACGGACACATGTTAAATTTGATTAGTTTAGACAAATGATAATTGTTCAGTATTGATTCGAACTTCCTTCTTTTTTTTTCGAATAATATTGATTTCTTCAAGCGAATCGAGATCACTAATACCATATGTCTTCCAGCTAGGATCAAACATTTCTAAAGATAGCTAATTGTATCTGTTGACCAATGATGTACATGTATAGAGAGAGAGAGAAAGAGAGAAAAAATCTCAACAATTTGTATTGTCTTTTAGACATGCATAGTTTTTTTTTTTAAATAAATAGATAGATAGCACGAACTGTAGTACAACACCTGCCTGTTAATCTTTTTCTTCAAAAAAAAAGTAAGAAAAGAGGTGGAGAAGAAGGCAAGTTCATTGATTGTCAAGGTGAGTTCACTTAATACTTCTTTTTCTTTTTTTTACACACACCTACTGTGATTAGTATTATGGTGATGAAAAAAAAAAGAACATGCCGTTTTCTCTTTTTCGTATGTCAATACTACTTTTTTTCTCTGCTATACATATATACACAAACGCTAATCTCATGATGTGGACATACATAGTCCGTTCGTTTTATACATCGTATGATTTGATCAATAATTCATTATTCGAGCACTTAGATACACATTGCTTCGATGATCTCTATCCTATATATATATATATGTATGCATGCGATTCAACTATTGTTCAATAGATCGATTCACTATTGAACATATGTCGTACTCGTCTGGTTAATACAGGTAGAACATCATGGACATATTTCCCTTTCAGATTGTTTTTTGCTGTCCATAATTATAAATACATCATCTCAAAAAAGTTAATTGTTAATGCATGTATGTAATTGCTTTTAACCACGCTAACAGTCTTAAACACCTGACTTCATTTATTTCATATACATATGAAGCTTTTCAATGAATGAATAAATAAACTCGTTTTTTTTCTTCTCTTTTCATTACAAGTGATATCCTTGATTTATTTTAAGGCGTTACTGTACTCTGAATATAACTCATATATATATAGAAGTTTACGCAATATATCAAATGAACTTATATTATAATGGCAGGAAAAGGAACAAAAATCAAAAAGGAAATGTATTCAAAAAAAAAGAATGACTGTCCATTCGTTGTCTTACTTTCTCTTTTCTTTTCATTCCTCTCTACTTCTTATACTACGAACAATTACGCTTGGATACTCTCTTATCGAATGTGTGAAGGCAAAAGCTTGTCATTTTTTTCTTCTTCTTCTTCTTTTTTTTCTATACATATAAACGACGGTAAAGATCTCATAGTTAATAACAGTGTACGACTTCTACAAATGCATTCAAACGTATAAATCTCTGATTGAATGGACACATTTTCTTTTCTTTTATATTCAGATTAAATATTTCATTAGAATCTAGTTGGCTATGTACTTCTCTATATTGTTACTAAATCTAGGTAAGTCCGATAGATACTTTAATTAAGAAGATTTATATTATTTTTTTTTCTTCAACAGTTCTTTTTCAAGTTTATGGTGAATTAGTTATTAAACCAAGTGAAGCTTCTTTAACAAGAGATCAATATAAATCATTCATTGCTCTATGTACGGGTCAATCGGATGACCAAATTATTGCATGGCGATCACCACAACAAAAAGAAATATCTGAACATGATAATGACCGGTAGAAAAAAGAACTCATAGAAGCAGAAGAATTTAAAAGATTATTTTCTTTAGTATTACTGCGGAAAGACAAACGAATGGAATACGATTAAGAATTCGAAATCTAACAACTGAGGATCAAGGTATTATAGATAAAGAAAATTAAGTATAACTATTATCTTATTACATCTAGGTACATGGGAATGTATTGGTACACATATGAATGGTCAACGAATAAAAAAATCATTTCAAATGATTATTAAAGGTTTATAATCTTCTATAAAAATATTAAGAATTCGAACTAGTGCTTTTTCTCTTAGTTCCAATTACTTTCAATGCTGAATCAGTTCAATATGTAGCACTCGGACAACCTACTGTTATTAAATGTACTGTTCAAGCTAGTCCAGTAGCGGAAGTATCTTGGTTTAAAGGTCAAGATAAACTTCGAATCGGTTTGTGCTTAGGATATAATGATCTTTTTTGAGTGATTTTTATTTAATAGAAACTCCTAAATATGAAGTTCTTAATAATGGTTTACGTATAAATCGTATTGAAATGTTAGATAATGATACATTCTGGTGTCGTGCTGATGTTCTTGAAACAGGCGAATCACGAGATTTTCCAATTCATGTTATTGTTTCAAGTATGTTTTGAAATAATTTCCCCAAGAAATATTTAAAAATTCGTTTTTTTCATTAGAATCAATTAATCAAACACATATTACTTGTGCTAATCCATGTGCTATTGAAAAGAAAACAGCAACATTAATTTGTGATGCCTATGGTTTACCAGCACCGAAATATTTATGGTTCTATGGATCGGTATGTTTTATTTTCGTAAACTAAAAACCAAAGAAATACACATATAAATCTCTAGGCAGAAAAGTTAAGAGAAGTTAAAGTAAGGAGAAAGTTAGCATGTTGATTTCTCTGAGTATTTGTGATATGCATGAATATATGTGTTTTTGTTTGTTCAGATCAATGTATTGACTATTGCGGTAAATTCGTGTGCTTTAATATTTTTCAAAACTAATATTTTAAGATTTTCTCTAATGAATACATATTAAGTTGAGTTCTAATAACTTCAGGGAGATGAAACAAAATCGATTCCAATGAATTTAACTATGATATTGAATGATTTAATGATGGAAATTTTTCGAACTGACGGAAAATTGAGTGTGAGTGATGAAATAAAGCATTTTTATTAGTCGCATGAAACTTGCTTTATAAACGTGTGTTAATGTGTGATCTAATTGTCTTATTGCACGTGTGTTTTTTTTGTTCATATTGCTTTTCAAATTAATTTTTGATATTCTTTTGAAAATTTTGTTCAGACAATATACGTAATATTTAGGATAAACCTGTTAGTGCAAGTGAAGTACCAAAATTAGTTGTACGAGAAAATCAATTAACAATAAATTATGTTGATGAAACGGATAATGGTAAATATTCATGTCAAGCTTTTAATGAATTCGATAGAAAAGGACAACGAGCAGAATATCATTTACATGTTATCGGTAAGAAATTTTAGTTGAATTAAACAAAAAAAGAAAAGTCTATTTCATATTTATATAGTTCCTCCACGTTTATCATTAATATCACCAATTGAGATTAATTATGATTCTCAAAATTCTCAACGTGTTTCATTTCAATGTCGAATTGAACGTGGTTCATCCGATGGTCTTTCATTAGAATGGCAATATTTAAATAATACACCAATTCAATCAACAAATGGAATTTCAGTTGATAGAACACAACTTGAAACACATAAATTAATTGAATTACATTTTAATCCTGTACAACGTGAACATTTTGGAAACTATTCATGTGTAGCAAAAAATCTTGCAGACAGCACTTATGCAATTGCTAGTCTTCTTATTAAATGTAAGTACATTTATTATTTATACAGTTAGTAATCATATAAAAGTTCACAGAAGGAGGCCAAAGACAATGGTCTAGTAAGCGAATCACATACCCAACGAGCATTACTTATAATTAAACATTGAAATATAATCTAATCATTAAAAATAGAAAACCTTATATTTTCTGAAGTTGCTATCGTTAGAGAGATAGCGTACTAACTGTAATACAAATCATACTATTCTCAAGCGCATTTACTTAATTCTAGTTCCACCGATTTATATTGGACCGAATATAAATATAATTTCAACAATTCCAAATTATCGTACAATAATACGTTGTTTATTTGATTCCTATCCTCCACCACAAATTCAATGGCTTAAAATGAGTCGAACTGTTCAAGATCCTGAAGGACGAATACTTGCTGTTGATATTAATAATGGTGTTAATGATATAACAACAAAACAAATTGGATCAACACATTATGAAAGTATTCTTTCTGTAAATATTAGGTTTTGTTTCATTAAATAAAACTAATTAAATTTTTTTTAATTTAGTATACACCAACAGAACGTGATTTTGGTTTAAGTTTTGAATGTCGTGCTTTAAATCCACGTCTTGGCCGGCATTCATTTACACTTCAACGTGCTCAACCACCAAAAAGAGTCAATATAACTCAAGTTAAATCATTACCAAATGGTGTAGAAATTTTTATTCAATCATCTGAAATGGGTGATCTGCCTATTACTCAATATATTCTTAAATACGATATAAAAAATACAAAAATTAGTCAATTACAAACATTAATTATTCCAGGTAATTGACCGAGGATTGAATTTTTTTGTGTTATTAATATTTTATTTTCCATTTAGCACACATATTATCTGAACAAATAATAAAAGTTGAAAATCTTCGACCAAGTACAGATTATCAATTAACAATTGTAGCTGAATCACAAGCTGGCGTTGGTGAAGAAATAAGATCGATAGAATTTCGAACACTCGATAGACAAAAACCAAATTTTACAATAGATGATAATCAAAATCGAACTTGTTCAAATGATGAAAGTTGTTTAATTACGTGGAGTATTGAATCCGATGGTGGAGCACCTATAACTCGAACAGAAATATCTTATGCAAAAGTTTGAAATTTAGGTTTTTTGAATTATATAATTTTACTGTTTTTTTTTAAGGCAAAAGATGAAGATAGTTTAGATATTGAAGGAGAATTCAATACACCAATATCCATTGATTTATCAATGACGGAATATGAACTAACAAAATTAAAAGCAGATACATATTACATTATTTTAATTAAATTATATAACGACGCTGGTTTTGCTGAAAAAAAATTTCGAATTAAAACAAATAAAGAAGGTGGGTTTAATGATGAGAACAAAGTTATTCTTAGACGCTATTTATTGTTCATAAGATTTTTAAGGACAGAAGCTTATATCAACAAAGATAAGAATAGTCATAAAAGAATCTAAACTCAGACGTCGCAATAAAACTTTACATTCCTGTATATATTTCAAGGATAACATTAACAAATATGAATTGTAACAAAATAGATAAAAATCTTATAATCCGACACAAAACGTTCTTGATAAGACTTAGTTTTGTATATTTTTCAGAGAATGATAAAATACAAAAACAAACATTAATAACCGATTATCGAAAAGCACAACCAAATAAATGGGCTGTCATTGGTATCATATTAGCGATAATTTTTTCAGCTATTACTATTGTTACTGTTTGTGTTATATTACGTGCATGTCGATTTGATGGTATACATAAAACAACAAACTCGTAAGTACAATAAAAACAATTAGAAATTCTCAAAAATTATTTCTTTTGTTCTGTATTAGTGATCATCAAACAACACCAATGATGAATGGTGAACATCATTCTGATAAAACAAATAGTCATTCATCAACAACAAAGGTATTGTAATAAATAAGATTTTATTTGATATTTTTTTCTAAATTAAAGTCTAATTCGTTTAAGAAAACAAAAGCAGCAACATCAGCTCAATTATTTCCTGATGATGATTCTGTATAAAAATATATATGTACTAAATTGAATTGCTTTATCTAGGTTGCTAATGCTTATATTAGGGAACTGCAAAATCACTTTTTTTGGTCCCGGTCCCGGTCTTGATAGAAGCTTAAGAATAATTCTGGTGTTGCCTTCATCTATGCAAAAAAATATGAAGTTTACGAAAATTCTCGCTTTTTCGATTGTAAATTTAATCTATACGGTTTTTCTTGAACTATAAAATAACACATTTGTCGATTTTTAATTAAAGAAATATTCTGGTCTCATACTTGATAAAAACATTGAGGAATTAGCTGTCAATTTTCGTCTTGGTCCCGGGACCACTTTGCAGTTCCCTAGCTTATATGCTTGTTTTTCCTTTTATAAATTTTATTCTTATAAATTTATTTCTTTTTTGTTATTTTTTAGCTCGGCGATATAGTGTAATGATCAATAATTTTCTTAAAAATATAAAAACTCAACAACAAATATTAGTTTACAATATAATCACAGAGAATGCTCATCATATCGATAGACATTTGTATATAGAATAATAATGTATATGATGTTGGTACTCTATTTTTCTTCTTGTTGTTGTTGTTGTTCGTTTTGTTATTTCCATCTAGTCAAATATTCGTTTGCACTCTTCAAAAAAAATATCAATGATATCATTAAACTTTTGTTTGAGCTTATAAAAAGCATTTTTTTTTCTTTTTCTTGTATAAATATGAGACAGTACTTGTTTCATTAGAACAAAATAAATTAAAATTGATTTACAAACATAAGTAGGGTCAAACAAGCAAATGTTTATATTATGAATTTATTATAGTTATTTGCCTAGAGATAAAAATAGTATCGAATTTAGCCAAAAATGGATTCTCTCGGAAAAAGAAATACTCAAGTATTTCCGTAATATTTTAATTAAACAGACTGATTTTTAAAGCTACTAACGGAAAAATATTTATAGAGAAGAAAAATCAATATTGCCTTGAAATATTATTTTAAACATTATAACATAGTGTTTTCTCTCAAGACATTCATCATGAAAAACTAATTATAAAATATTTTTGTTTTCATAACTCAGTCAATCATTTTGATCAAACTATAACGGAAATACTTGAAACTATCCTTTTCGACAAAATGAATACTGTCTAAGAGTTTAAATATTGATTTCTAAACCTTCATTGTAAAATATCTTCGGTAGATGTCAGTCTTTACAGATGAATTGATCAAGTATCTTAGTTATGAATGGATCTAGACAATATAACGAATGAAAATAATTTCAAAGATATATGTCCATGAAGAAAAAAAAATCAATCTTGTGATCTTTAATATTCATCTCGTTTTCTCTATCAATGGTAAAAGCACCACCTGATCATTCTCCGATGGTTGTTGATAGTCAAGATCTATCATCATCGACAATAATGAATCCAATAACATCTCCAAATCAACTTCCAATTCATTCGATGCGAAAAAAAATCATTCAAACCGTATTTAGTAATGATTGTTGTATATTTCTTGGTGAAACAGGTTGTGGTAAAACAACACAAATACCACGTTTTCTTTATGAAGCTCGAGAGAAAAAATTCAAAAATCTTCTAAATAAAAAATCACAACGAAATAAAAATTTAATTGCTTGTACACAACCGCGTCGTGTTGCTGCTATATCAGTTGCTGAACGTGTTGCAAGTGAAGTTAATCAAAATTGTGGTGAACTTATTGGTTATAGTGTTCGTTTTGATGAAGCAATAAGTCGTCAAACAAAAATAAAATATATGACTGATGGTATGTTATTACGTGAAGCATTACTTGATCCATATCTTCGACAATATTCAATAATTATTTTGGATGAAGCACATGAACGTACATTACATACAGATCTTCTTTTCGGAATTGTTAAACAAGCATTAGAATATCGTAAAAAATCACAAAAAAATTCCTTACATGTTTTAGTTATGTCTGCTACAATGAATGTGGATTTATTTTCAAATTATTTTAATCAAGCACCTGTTCTATATTTACAAGGTCGACAATATCCTATTGATGTTTTTCATGTACAAGAAACACAAACAGATTATATACATGCATCATTAATTACATTATTTCAAGTACAAAAAAAAAGAAAAGAAATAATATTAATAAAAATTTTGTTCTTCTCTTTATAGATTCATCGATCAACACCATTGAATGAAGGAATATTAATATTTCTTACAGGACAAGATGAAATTGATTCAATATGTAAAACTATTAAGCAAATTGTTGCTAGTGGAACCGAATCCCTAGAACCAATTATACCTTTACCACTTTATGCAAATATGACAACTGTAAAACAAATGCTTGTTTTTAAACAAACACCTGAAAGTATGAAACATTTTTTAGTCAATAACTTATACATTCTATGATTTATTTAGATATTCGTAAAGTAATTGTTTCAACAAACATTGGTGAAACATCAATTACAATTCCAGGTATACGACATGTTATTGATTGTGGTCGTGTTAAAACGAAAACTTATAATCCACAAACTGGTCTAGAAATATTACAAGTACAAAAAATCTCACAAGCACAAGCATGGCAACGTACTGGACGTGCTGGACGTGAATGTCCAGGAACATGTTATCGCATGTATCCAGGTTAGATTATCTATTAACTTTAATCTCTAGAATAACAACGATTAATTAAATATTTTTTTAGAAGAAGAATTTGAACAATTACCATCAACACCTATACCTGAATTACTTCGATGTAATTTAGCAACTGCTGCATTACAAATTCTTGCAATGGGAATAACAAATATTTCAACATTTGATTTTCTATCGAAACCAGATGAAAAATCTATTGCAGCTGCCTTGAGGGAATTGACTTATCTTCGTGCAATACAACCATCCAATGATAGTGCATATGAATTAACAGATGATGGAAGAAAAATGGCTTGTTTTCCACTTGATCCAAAGTTTGTTTTGCAATTAAATAAAATAACAGTCTTTTTTATTTTAATCTTTAGACTTTCACGTTGTTTATTAGCTTCATCTGGCCTGAATTGTTTAGAAGAAATGCTTAAATTAGTTAGTATAATGAGTGTTGATACAATATTTCTTACATCATCAAATATAAATGAAAAAATGAAAATGCAAAGACAAAAATTTACAATGAATGAAGGTGATCATTTAACATTATTAAATGTTTATAAAACTTTTATTTCAAACAAAAAAACCAAAGTATTATTTCTTAACTTTTTTCATATGCAGTCAAAACAAATTTTATTTCTCATAGGAATGGTGTCAAATCAATAAAATTAATCGGCGAAATTTATTACGTGCATGTGCAATACGAAAACAATTAAGACGTGTTTGTATTGAATTACAATTAAATATTAAGTCTTGTGGAACAAAATATAGTCTTGTTCGGTAATATATATGTCTATACATTCTTGCTATGTATACAAATTTTGATTTTAGACAAGCACTTGCTCAAGGATTGTTTATGAATGTAGCTGAATATTTGAAAGAAAATGATTATCGTACAGTAAGTCTTAATATAAACTAAATTCATAGAAGAATTTGTCTAAATTAAGATAAATGATCGTCATATTGTTAAAATTCATCCAAGTTCAGTATTATTTGGTGCTAAACCATCTGTAGTTGTTTTTACTGAATTAATTCAAACAACAAAACGATTTATTCGGTAAATGATTTGATTCTATAAAATGCTTTTTTTTAATTATTTATTTTAGAGATATAACAGTAGTTGAACCGGACTGGCTTATTGAAAGTAATCCGGAATATTTTAAAACTCGTCTTTCTTCGAAATAGTTTGTTTGTTTTTCTGTACAAATCAGTGATAAGATTTGTGATTTGTTTATTAGCAAATAAAAAAAAAGGAAAACGAAAAAAAAAATAAAAATGTTTTGTTAATTATTCATTTTTTTCTAATGTAATCAATTCTTTATCATGAACACCTTGTAAAAGTAATTCCGATGAATAACTAACAACTTTACGACGTTTAGCAGCTTTTAATGTTCCAGCTAAACTTTCAAGTGTATTTTGAACTTCATCACTACGAAATAAATCACCAAATGTTGTTTCGTATTTACCTGATGAAGAATTTTGTTTACCAATTGAACGAATAAAATTGGTTAATAACGATATTTCATGTTCGACTTGAGCTGTATTTGCCATCTTTAATAATATATGTTGATAAGAAAAAACAAATGGAGAATTTATCTTTATTCGTTCTGTGTAAATAAGGTGGGCTTGGGTCTATCTAATATCATCACATATCTTGTGATGTCGCTCTTGATCAATCAACTCAACAAAAAAATGTATATTAGATAACAATATTTACGCATCATTTCAATAAAAGAATGAATAACATTCGACTTGTGACGTATGACATTGTTCATATTGACTTGTCATTCAAACGTAATAATCAATTTCATGCATCATGAAATCCATGTTATTGGTAATCTTTTTTGAAAGAAAATTAACAAAAAAAGAACAAACATCTGTCGTTAATTAATTCCATATGATGAATAGGCAAGGTTATTGACACTGAGTAATATACTTATTATTTTGACAAAAATGAACAAAATCGTTTAAATAATTTCGTATCATATCATAATCTTTATATACACAGTAGATTCGTAATGATAAAAGTATGTGTATAGTTTTATTTTTTAATGAATAATTTCCATCTGTGTTATATAGTTATTATGATAAATGTTTATTATCATTGATATTACTAAAAATAGCGCGTAACATCACAATGATATTTTTTTTTGGAGAATCGACCTTCGAATATTGATAAGATTCTTTTGAATTTTTGTTTTCATTAATTGATACATTAGACTGTCGGATATTTTTATTTTATTTGTTATTGAACGTATTTATAGAATATCTAAGAACGCTATTTATTGTCAAGAAACGTTTCGTTAAGTGTTCCAAATAGAATATAGAATCTATAGATCTTTCTAGTTATATTAAATTCCCTGCGGCTCAATCGATGCTATCTCTCTATATGCAATCGATTGCCATACAAATATTCTACATCTATTTATACTAAAAACTATATTAGTAATCATGAAAATAAAAGAACTCTTTTTTTCTTTTTGTTTTGCCTCAAGATAGAAGGTTCATATAAACAAAATATTCAATAAAATAACAATGTAACAAACGAAAATGCTCAAAAATCGTCAATCAAATAGCAAACAAGTAGTGAGTAGTGTTTTTCTTCTTCTTCTTCTTTTGCTATTTGAGCAAATAGATCGAGAAAGAAAAAGGAATGAATTTGTTCGTCCTTTTTCTTTTATTATGTTATATTGATTAATATATATATATATATTTTTCTAAATGTGTAGTGCTAGTTTTTCTAGTCTACATCACGTTCTCTTCTATTTTATTATAGAAAAAATTTAATAAACAACTTCTTCGACTTTAGGAAATATAAGTGTAAATGCTTCATAACCAACACCATATGTATACATAGGTAAACTTTCATGTGAAGAAATTTCTTTTCCATCAGTACGAAATTCAGTTAATTGAACGACTGGTCGAAACCATCCATTAGATGATAAAATCGTTTTTAAATAAGTATTTTTATTATCGTTTTCTTCAAGAGGTGGTTGAAGAATTGTTCGAAAACTTGACGGAATTAGTGCACTATTTGCAGGTAAACAGTAAAGTCGTGGTTGAACACGTATTGTACAAAAAGGTTCATTTGCATCAGGCAAAAATATTTCGACATATGTATTATTATCCTTCCAAGAGAATCGAGCTAATTTCTTAGGTATACCCCAATTACGTCGTCCATTAATTACTGAATCGAGAGAGGAAACATAGATTTGTGAAATACGATAATATGTCGAATCATGAAATTGATAAGAACCCGGCATTAATATCAATTCATCATAAGGACCAACAGGTGAATCAGTATAACGAATAAGAAGTAATCCACCCATACCACCGCGAAATGGACTTTGAATAGGATTAGGATTTTCATTAAATAATTCTTGAGCAGGTCGTGATCCATGCATAAAACCATACGCTACCTCACCCTTTAAAGTCCATGGAGCTGGAGCATCTTTTACTTTATCGTCAGTATTATCTGCCATTATAGTTACTTTATAATATATATATCTGTTTATTGTTTAGTTGTCAGACACTATTTGTTTTTGTTCTGTTACATAGTAAAGGTATACAAGTTATATCACATAACTATCTATCCGTAATGTGGTGCCCTCACTAGGAAAGAACATATCAGGTATATTACTACTCTATATAACAAATATTTACACTATATATATATATATACAGAAATTAACTATATTTTATAACTATCCATGAAAATCTTATTTATTTTTTTGTTCATTTAATTTTCTAAGTAAGGAGAATTGTTCATTTGTGTGCAGAAAAAATTTCTTTTAATTTCTTTTCAATTGATAATGTGTCAGGGTTAGTATATTAAGTAAATATTATCATATATCTTAGGAAAAATGATTATCAAAATGTAAACGATCAATCAATATGTCTTGTTACGGCAACAAACGTTGGTAGTATTGTTTGTACGTCATCACATACTTCATAACTGGCTAGAGCGATCATCAATATTAACCGAACTGCAATAACAGCATTGGTCCAATTAGCTCTAGTGCCTCGTTGTCACAAACAAAAGAAAAAACCTAGAGAGAAAGAGAGAGAGAGAAGAAAAAAAGAAGAAGAAGAAATGTTGCCGCATTTTTTCTTCTTCTCTATTATTTTGTATTGAAAAATCGAGAAAGCGAAAGAAAGAGCATGCGCACGAGATCTCGCCCGTCGGCCCACTCATTCAATGAGTAGTCGTATAGGCCTTTTAAAAAGAGAGAGAGAGAAGGGGAAAGAGACTTGTTATTACTACTACTGAGCATAGTGTCGTTTATTCAGACAATACAGACCAGAGATCATCAACATACAACATATAACAAAGATAGCAACATCGGCAAAATGAACATGATGAAAGGAACGAGACAACTGCCCTTCTTATTCTTCTTCTTCCCCTCTTCGTCCGTCTTATAATTACGTTTGGTGTGTTCCGCTCATCGTTGTCGTTTCGTGATCCATCGACGCGAGTCGCTCAACGACACGTCACACGCACAAAATCGCTTGGTTAGATAGAACGATAAATACGAAGCATTTTTTTTCTATAACTTGTCCCTTATCCAAAGTAAGTAGACATTCTTTTGGGTATACATATCAGAGTTTATCATTATATATTGCTCGATTTTTTCTTGTATACATTAACTATGATAAATGAGAAAACTATACTACCGATTAAACATGATAAGAGAAACAAAATCTTGATTGATACACGAGACAGGAAAATAATATTTGTATGATTTATGTAGACTATCAAATAATCGGATGTTTTTCATGAACTTATAAAAAAACAATTTCAGTTGTCAACATAGACAAATATATCGATTTCGATTATAATTTACATGATTTTTCCATTTGAGTTCAATAAATAGTATATTTCTCATTACTTATACTATGTTTTATTCCTGCATGATTTACATATAAAAGTCAGACATAATCGCTGTTGATCGGAATATACTCTGCCCCTTTTTTTTCTCTGTCTCTGTCTCTCTCTCGCTCTCCATAGAATGCAAATAGACGATTAAGTTGAGCTATCACACGCTCCAATTAGTGGTGCTTGATCAAGAAATAGATTGGCACAAGTTGACGTGTGCTAGTTATCGAAATAACAACAACAACAGCAGTAGCAGCAGCAGCAGCAGCAAGAGAGAAGTACCGATTAATCCTTGATGAGTTTTTTCTCCTATTTAGCGCAATGGCATCGTATTCTATCGAGATGTTGGAGACGAGTACATATTCTAATGCCAATTTGGCTTTCAACAGATACAGCTGGAGGGATCTTACTAATATGAAAAGACATTGATAATGTCGATTAGAAATGTAAAACTGAGTAATAGTAACGGGAAAAGAAAAGCATCATATACGAAAAAATATAGGCGGACGCGTTTAGGTTTCCTTCTGGTTCTTTTCCTTCTAATGTGCACTATGTTATGTTATGATGAACAACGTTTCTTTCACATGCACTTCGGACGTGTGCTCTCATGCTCATAGTTTTCTTTCTCTTATTCTTCTTCTTCTTCTTTTCCTAGCATGATGATTCTTGCATGTGAGCGTTTGCGTGTATATAGTATGAGTTGTTTGAGCCGCAAAAAAGGTGGAGAAAAATGAGGGGAAAAAAAAGAAGAAGAATCTAGGTTGTTCACTAGCAATAATATTTTATATAACGGGAATCTGCTTGCGCGAAAGAGAGTAAAGTTATAAACGAAGAAAAGATCGTTTTCTTTCTCTCTCTAGTTGACATGTAATTTTGAATAGAATTTCTATTATTTATGCATACATATATTCATTCATTGAAAAGTACTATAACTGTTAAAAAATCATTTATGTGAAAATAAAAATTTCCTCATTTGATGTAATTTCCTTATTTATAATAAAAATCAGTATTTAATCTAAAATCTAGACTAATTATTTGAGAGTATAATAAAGAATATAAATAGTTGACTTTTGTTATGTATCTTTTTCATTGACTATTTATTTTCTTAAGTAGTAATTAAAAATACATTTGATGTTATTTCTTTTTTTTGTTTGTTTTCTAGGATGTCAAAATGGGCACTGCCGAATCGTCTCAATCGCCCGAAATCGGTGGTATCGGCGGTTTTAATCCTCCTTCAACATTTCGTAGACAATCACCTAATGTTGCTCGTTTAATACATGGTGAAAATTCGCAAAAAATGGAATATGAATTTCCAATATCGGAAGGGAATACGAATAGTTTAGGACCTTTTCGTCGTCATCAACAACAACAACAACATAGTAGTAATCCTACGATAATAACTGGACAGAAAAATCATCAACAAATACATCATAATGATAATCTTTTATCAAATACAAAAATTTCTCCAAATGAATCATCTAGTTTATGGTCATCATTAGTCAATTGTTTTGGTTGTCGTACACGTGATGCAAATCCTTCAACAATGAATCCTTTACGTGATAAAGTACATGCAATACGTATTGTTCGAGCATCGAATGATTTAACACCAGCAGTATTTGATTCACATTATAATATAATAACACTTGAACAATTACGTGAATGTGACAATAATGCGAGTGGAAATCTTAGTGATTCATCCGATTCAACTAATCCTGATAATGTGCATTCTACTCATAGTGCAAATGGTTCAATATCATCATCAAAAAATGCAAATAATCGTCGAATGAAAAAAAAGAAGAAAAAACGAGCTGCTGCAGCAGCTTATGCAGCGAAAACAGTAACTTCAGATGATGATGAAGGTTATGAACGGACGTAAGAAATGCAAATGAGGAGTTGCTGGTCGATTTCTCATCTTTATAATCAGTCAGAGAGTATTCTTTTATTTTGTATGGTGATAATTGTTTAATACCCGTGCAATTGAGTTTAGCATGTGGAACTAGTCGGTTGTTCTTTTTTTGTATAATTTGTCTTTTTCTTTTTTCTGAAATTCTGTGTTCAATTTTTTTTGCTCTGTTTCTTCCTTCTTTTTTTCTTCTCTTCTTTGCTTCGCACATATTGCACTGGAAATGTGAAAGATCAAAAAAAAACGTTTTCTTTTTCGAACAAAAAAAGAAACAAAGAATAACAAAAAACAAAAAACATTACAATTAAATTCAAATTAGAATAGAGAGAAAAATGACAACATAAATTGTCTCGTTCATGCTTAATGATTTCGAGTTTGTACCGGATAGAGACAATAAAAAGAGGAGAAAAAAAATATTTCTAATCATAATTGATGATTTTATTTGTCGACAAAGTCAAACGAGATTTTACTTCTGACAAGTTTGTATTTTCTTATAAGGAGAAGAAAAGAAAAGCGCAACGATAGTATAATAAGTACATATGGGAATGAGAAATCCCTAAATTAAGAATACTAATCAAAGAATTATATGTAACTTGAAGAACAAGAATATGTACTTTAATATTATGTAAAATAGATTGATATTTAGTTGTATGATTAATCAAGAATGTAAGTCAGATCTCTTGAGAAAATGAGTAAAGTACTTAGAAATCATATTCGAATTTAATTATCTGAAGAACAATTTATGCTAAAACAAAAATTAGCAAGATATATTCAATTGATTTTCTGTTTCATTTAATTTAAAGATTAATAAATAGTTTTACATTTCATTTCCTAGTAATAAGAAGAAAAAAAACGGGAATGCTGTTGATAAAATAATTGTTTTCACACATACGCTTGATCGATCATGTAAAAATGAAAGATTTCACATATGTATATTTTAACTAATTAATTTTTGACTGATGACGACATAGATGTGTATTACAAAGAAAAAAATTACGTTTTCTAAGTGATTATAGTATTGTATCTTAATGTCTTTTTTTTCTGTGACATTCGGAAATGAATATGAAGACTCTTCTCTCGTATACTTAAGAATTAAAATTAAAAAAAGAAATGCAAATTTAGATTCTTGATTTTGTTTTGAAGAAAAACAAACTTATTCGAGATTAAGATCTATGTTATTTGTAATAGAAAGCAAGACTTGTTTTTTCTTGTCTGGTATTTATACAATTACAAAGTACTATTCATATTCGTCTATAAACACAAATTATGAGTGCCAATTTCTTTCGATATCAATATAAACAACGATATCTTGTACCTCTTAGACAGGTATATTTTAATCTAAATTGAAAACATCTTTTTAAAATTCATTATAGCCTTTTCACAAGTATGATTCGTCAAGCAATGAAAGACTTTGTATGATTCAATTAGATCGTCCACGAACTAAATCAATACTTTCATATTATGATAATGATGAAACGGAAAATGGAAATAAATTATTGAAATCAAAATGGATATTTGTTCGACAACGTTTACCTGAAATTCTTGCTCTAAGTTCATCATATAAACCAGCAAATCTACAAACACAACTTACTTTACTCGTTGGAATGATGAATAGACAAACAAAAAATATCAATAATGATCATGATTATAATCTATCTCATATTCCATCGAATGTTACTATTGATATCGGTGGTCGTAGGCGATTAATCTATTTAAAACGTATTCCACCTGATCAAATGATACATGTTGATCTTGATCAACTTTCATTTTCTCTTCCAACACGACAACTTATTTTAGCTATAAGTCGTGGTAATGCATATCAAACAGCATCTAAATATTGTCCACCGGCGATAACTGATTTATTAATTAATTTATCTCAAACAAAAATTGTTAATGATGGTAGAAAATATAAACGAGCATTATATAAAATGCTTATTGGTAAAATAATCTTTTTTATTATATTTATATTTATTAGCGGAATGATGTTTACACTAGTTATTAGTACAACAAATACTCTATTTAAATTGAATTCATTTAATTATACAAATCCAACACTTTTGGTGACAAATGTATCATTACATACAGAAACAGAATAATATTAGTAATGGAAATAAACAAAGAGCTTTTCTTCTTTCTTTTTGTTATTCATATTTGTATAGATTGTATGGTAAATAATATTGATGGAACCATAGAATAATATGTTCGGAATCTATTGTCATTGTTGTTTTCTTTTTTGTTATTTTAATAATAGAAATGGTAACAGCTTAAGTATTTTTCTTTGGATATCACGTTATCAATTACGTGTTCGTTTATAAATTGTGACGAATGTGTTAAACAGTACATTGATAAAAAAAGAACGCCCTGATTGATCTTGAAACTCTGTGCGGATGTAAGTG